GCAGGAGGCAAGTGGAGGTCTCTAAATCCCATGGCCTTACGGGTGGCATCACGGAAAGGGGCTCTGGGTTTCTGGGGACGGAAATAAGGGTTTTTCTCCCTGCATTATCCCCCTCCCCCCTCCCCAGCAGAAGAGCCAGCAGCCTAGGTCCCAAGCTTTGGAGGCCTTTGTTACAGGCCCCAGAGCCCTCTCCTCCCTGTCCTTTGTTTCCTAGTCTGCTGGAGAAGGGTGGAGAAAAGAGGGCCCCAGGGGCCAGGGAGGGGTGGGAGCCAGCGAGGGTCATAGGACTGTAGGGTCCTGAACCTGCTTGAAGACCCTCGCCCTCAGAAGGGGGCACACAGGGAGGCTGGGCTCGGGGCCCAGGACGCCAGGCTGCAGGCTCAGAGGCAGTGGGGCCTCGGGCTGTGCTGTGCAGCTGGGCCAGTGGGCATCTCAGCAGGAGCAGTGGGGATTTTGCACATTGCAGGGTAGGGGTGAGGGCCCAGGAGTAACTGGCAGTGCGTTTCTCCCAGCGTGGCAGGTGGGTTGAATTTGGTTTAGGAATACACACGCTCATAATCAAGCCTCACACAGGTCACCCACGATCCCCTTTTCTGAACAGACGGGAGGCTGGGTGTGGAACAGGACCCTCGCCTGGATGACAGCTAGAGAGAAGCAGGGTTTGTGTTTCTCCTCACTTTGCAGGCACATCCTCCCTGGCAGCAGGGCAGGCCCACATTCCCAACCTGATTCTGTCCAAAGTTGAGACTTTCTTCTAGAAATGTCACCAAACTCCCCCTAGAATCACCCTCCCTGTCCTGCTCCAGGAGCCCAGGGCATCCCTGGAGGAGGTTTCCTGCCCACTCTTCTCTGATCCTTACCTGCTCCTGGAGCCCAGAGGTGGCAGGTGGTGGGTGGCATTTCAGAGGAGCCCTTCCACTTGTCCGAGGCCAAGCAGGCTCTCAGCAGTGGGTCAGGACTCGACCCAGGTCTCCAGACCCCGAGGTCTGGCCCGTCCTGCTGCCCTGGCCTCGACTGCTGGGCAGCTCAGGTTGCCCCAGAGAGACCAGTGAGCTGAGACATGGGACAGGGAGACTGGGGGACACTTGGCTTCCCAGCTCTGGGCGCCAACTGCTAGTTACACTTTCCACTGGTCTTCCCACTCCGGGCAGGCCGTCTGTGTCTGTGTCCCTGGTGGGAGGGGGTGTCAGTCAAAACAGGGGACGGTAAGGGGGGCTCAGGGACCCTAACACATGGGTGTTGACAGTCAACCACCCAAATCCTCCCTGGAGCTAGCTGCTCAGAACTCAGTGCCAAGAGCCATGGGTGGGTGGCACTCAGGAACCAGAGGCAGTGGCCTCACCCCAGGCAGCTCCCTCACCCCAGTGAGCAAACCCACAGTATAGGAGCTTCTGTACATGTGACTCTGGCACAAAAAGGCCAACCAAAGCCTCTGAGCTGGGCGTGGTGGGTGTTGGCGGCCCAGTGGTGGTGAGTGGTGGTGACAGGATGCCTCGTTTCCCTGGCAACCTAGTGGAGGCTGTTCCACAAATACCAGCCAGTGGCTGCCGCCGCTGGGCGGCTGGGAGGACTCAGATCTGAGATCCAAGTCTGCCCGGCTGCCACCAGGCGCAGGGGGGCCCTGGCCCCCTCCTCAGCGGCCGTCCTCTGTGGTTGGCTCTGCGTGTATTTATTTTGTCATTCAGCAAATCCCTTACATCTCTGCGTACCCATCTGCACATCTTGGTACAGTCTCTGCCAGGAGTGTCCTTTCTCCTTTGACTGGTGAACTCCTCCTCCAACCTCAATGTCCACTTCAAATAGCCCCTCGTATGGTCACATGACCACCCCGAGGTAAGCTCAGGACAGTCAGTGGAAAAGATAAGCTTTATTCAAAAGGCCTCAAGGAAGGTCTAGGTGAGCAGATCAGGACAGAGGGAACAGGTCAGGTCAAGGACAGGACTTCGGGGTGAATAAACCGTTAAGACTCTCCATCAACTGTCTTTAGAGGCATCACAGAAGGAACACTATCTTGCCCTGACTGGGTGGCCTGGGACAAGCCCCTTTCCCTCTCCAAGCCCCAGAATCCCCTTTCCTAAAATGGGGACATCAGAGAAGGTAATTCTTAAAGGCCCTCCCAACGCTGACAACTTCATGACTCTGTGATTCTGGGGTGCCCTTCCCTCTCTCTCTGAGGGTTACCTATCTTCCTGGGGAGCTTACATCCTACCTGTCTGTCTCCCAGGCCGGCCTCTGTCCCACTGGCCTCAGCCTGAGGCAGGGCTGTCTTTACTGGGTTTTCTAGCGTGGGATCCACCGGCCGCTCTCCCCGGAGAGTCCCACAAGTCTCCCCAGTCTACCTGGGGTCTCTGCCACTTCCACCCTCACTCTTGCCAGGATTTTCTCAAGGATCTACAACAGCTACTCCCTTTTTTTCTCAGATTCTCTGCAAACTCTTTTCCCGGCCTCAAAAGGATTTTACTCCTTCTGTGGTAGGAAAACCACCGTGTGGTTAATGGCGTGAACTCCACGCTCTGAGGCCTCTGGACTTTGCTCATGTTACTGAAACCAGGCTTCTGGGAAAAGACGGCAGAAAGAACATCTAGTCTTACTCTCTCCCAAAACCTCACTAGGGCTACGGTACAGAGATCCACATATGCACGCGCATGCACACACACACACGCACGCGTGCGCACGCCAGGAGAGCAGACCACAGCAAGGTTTGAGAAGCTGGGAAGCAGGTGGAAGAATGGAACTGACTTAGCAGATCCCAGAAAGTGAAATCTCAAACCCACGGGGAAGAAAACTAAGAACTAGAGTTGTGCGTCTCAGAATTCTCAAGGAACTAGGAGTATCAGGAAACTTTAGAACTCGGAGTAAAGGCGTGGCTGAAATGAGGAGGATTAATCTAAAGTAGCCAAAGAAGGAGGTGGGTCCTGGGGTCCCCTCCACTCCTCACTAATGGGCAACTGCCCATTCCCACCCCAAGGGAAGACTGGAGATTTACACCCTGGAAAAGCGTAAAAAGTGACCCTTTGGATTGGAGGATATGGGGTCTCACCACAAACAGCGGGATTAAGTTAATGTGGGAACTCTGAATGCTAAGGTCATACCCCCAGGCCCCCTGCCTGAAGCCTGGGGGCTAAGTCTTCACTCTGAGGGTGGAAGGGGGCCGCTGGAAATGTCCTCTCTGGAGAAAGGAGCCCTGGTGAGCGTCTGTTCTCACTTGTGCATTCAGACCACACCACGACCCATCACCATGACATTTCAGATTACTGTGGCCCAAGAGAAGATCCTACCAGCTTCCAGAGAGAGGAAACAAGTCACATTCAAAAGTCGAGGCACGAATTTGGTTTCTTACAGAGACCCTGGAAGCTAGAAACCTTTCAAAATTCAAGGGATAGTGATTTATGATCTAGAATCCTATAAACAGTGAAACACTTTGTCAGGTGAGAAGTTAGAACAAGGACATTTCCAGACACGCAAGAACTCAAAATACTTGCCTTCAATAACTCTCTTCTCGGAAACCTCTAGAGAATGTGGTCCCTCAAAAGGAGTAATCCAAGAAAGAAGAGGCCACCGGACCCAGGAAACAGGTGTCCCGACACAGAAGAGCAGCAGAGGAAGCGCCTCTGCAGAAGCCAAGACAGAGGCCGGGCAACAGCTGAGCTCAGGACACGGGGTGGCAGGTCCTGATCAGGGCGGTGCGGAAGCGCTGGAGAGACAGGCTTCTCCAGGAAGATGAAACCGAGAGAGCCCCAGACACAACTGAATGTCTCGGGAAGACCCTCTGACAACTGGCAAAAAGCCTGGAGTGGAATTGGTGATAAATACACGGAGAATCAGGCTATGAAACAACACGGTGATTAATTTCAGGGATAACGATACTCTGCAGAGAAGGAGAAGGAGTCATAAGTCATAGTTCACCACACTTTTCAACTATAGAAAGTGTTTCCATGGCTTAATAATATAAAGAGTGGCTGGATCTAAGCAAAATTGCATCACAGTTCAACGGGGACCAAGGGGTGTGGGAAGGGTTCACACGTCCCTGAGGAGCAGCAGGTGGAAGTCAGGAGACAGTGTCCACACGGAAAAATTAAACAGTGGGTGTGCACGCGTGTATCTGAAATGCAGAGGCCAGCCCAGATCCTCGGGGAACAAGATTGGGAGTGACTGCTTCGGGGCGGAAAACATGGGCGGAGGGTCCGGGACTCCTGTTGTGTTTTCACAGCCCACCATCTAGAGCACTCTGCCCCCTTAGTAGATGCAGCGCGTAAAACTGAAAGCACAGGGGAGCGCGGGGCGGCTGAGGCTCTTCGCTCGGGTGAGGTGAGCGACGGCCTCGTGGAGAGCCCTGGACAGCGCGGAGGGGCACGTGCCTGTGGACGGGAATCTACTTTTGGAGCCCGAGTTGCCAAATTACAGGCTTCCTAAGGCAGCCCACAGCGCAGAGGCCCAGGACCAGTGAGAATCCCGAAGCTTCTCAAGTCCCACCCTCCAGGACAATGACGGGAACGCAGCAGCAAGCAGTGGCAACTTTCCAGCCTGGCCTCACCGTGGATGGCGGTCACCCACACCTGATGCAGCCCCAGGTCCCAACCCGCCCCGGCCTAGTGCCCCTTGGGTGCTCTGAACGTTTGTTTGAATTCATGTCATGGACAAAATGTTGAGCTAAATTTGATCTCAAACCTGGTGTGGCGGGGGGAGGGTAGGGGGGTGGTGTAAGTCTTTTTAAGGCCATCTTCAGGCTGTAAATAACAAAATAAATACACATGTGTGCTCTGGCCCCGGACTTACCCCTTCTGATCCTCACATCCTCTAAGGATGTATAAGGGAGGCGGTTTAATTTTTCTCTTTGCGCAGAAGGCAAAACTCCGAGTCTGGGAGGTTAAAGCATGAACCCAAGGCCGCGGGGCTCCTTGTGGAGCCTGAGAAGATATTCTCAAACTCCCCCAGCTGTGCACGGGGCATTTTATTTATTTATTGCCTTTTATTTCACCTTTAATTTCTGTTTCCATCAGGCCTCCCAGAACCCACAGCACGGAGGAGGGAGGCTGAGGCGTCCAGGCACTGGAGATGGTGCGTACAGACCCCAGTGGAGCGATCACCTTCTCTCCTCACACAATTCATCTGAGACGGGCTCAGGAAGCAACTGAGGGAGGGGCTTCCTTTACACAGCCAGGTGGCATCAGATCTGGAGGGAGAGCAAGGGGAACCCATCCCAGGATCTGAACCCTCCAAGAGGGACCAAGCAGAGAGGAGGGTCAGGGGAAGCGGGAGACGACGTGGATCAAGCCCTGGGTCTGGGTTAAGCTCTCCACCCAGGCTCTCGTTTAATTGTCACAACAATGTTATACATAGGAAACATTACCCCCATCTTCCAGATGAGGAAACTGAGGCCCAGAGGCTTCCGACAGGCCAGGCTCACCCAGCTGGGAAGTGGGAGGTGGCACAGCAGGGCCCTTCCCACCTGCCCACACTGACAGACCAGAGTGAGGTTGCTGGGAGTCAAAACTGCCACGTGGGGCCTGTCCTTGGTGTCGTGAGGCACACCTCAAACTGCAGAGGGATTGACTCAAGAGAGGGCGTTAGCTGGTGGCGGGCCTGTGGGAGCTCAGTATTTTTAGTCATTTTGTCATACAGACCAGGATGGAGAGATGGGAAACCACAGGGGCTGGCACAGGCCTCAGGATGAAATCATGAGCCCCAAATAGGTGGAGCCGCAGCCCTCCGACGCCTGTCGTGGAGCCTCTGCACTGACAAGCCACAAACACACTGGATTCTTTCTTTATTTTTGTTTTTATTTTCTGTGGAGGGCCCCAGACCTCTTTTAGAAGGTATTAAATCAAAGGATGTTTGAGCTGGCAGGAACCTTAGAGATTGCCGAGTCTGATCCCTCTCTGTGTGATTGGGGTCACTGAGGCTGGAGAGCAGGGAAGTTTCATCTAAGTGAGCGGCAGAGTGGGGACCCATCCAGGCCCCTGGGCTGCATCCTCTCCCCCATGCCCTGCTGCCTCCGCACCAGCCTCCTGCCCTGGCTGCCACCCCATCTCAGGGGCGGGATGAGGCAGAGTGTGGAGCCTACAGCTGCCACACAGGGAGTTAGAAGGCCCTGGGCTTGGGGACTGTGGACCCACCGCTTTCCTTTTTGGTGATGCCCATTTCTCAGATCAGGGTGTTGTGGTTTTTTATGAGATTCCAAGGATACAGCATGTAAACACGACTTCCTGCTCCACCGACCTGGGGGTGTTTCTGGAAGGAAGGTGGTGTACAAGGTGGCGTAGGCATCCCTGCTGGAAGCCCCCAGTCCCTCCTTCCTCCATCCTAGCAGAACCAGATGGTGTCAGGTACCCGCTCTCACGAGTGATCAGCCCCCAGCACCAGGGCCTCAGGACAATGGTAGTGACCTCATTCTCCTGGCAGGTCACTGTTCAGCATGGGCTTGTGACACAGTTCTGGCCAATAAAAGATGAAAGGAAGTCTGCAGGGGGCTTCCGGGGAAGGCTCCTCCATGATTAAAAGGGATAAAAAAGTGCATGGGAAGAAACAGTCCCTGGACACTGTCATGAAAACGTGACAACTGGGTCCATTATAGCTTTACCATGAGGGGCTCAACTTGAGGGCAAAAGACAGCAAAGCAGAGAGAGGAAATGAACTTGGGCCCTTGTGGCGGATCTTGCCTCTGACTGCTTGCCATGTGAGATCACAGATGCGTTTACCTTGGGGGCTTTTCACATTTGAAGCCCAGATCATACCAGATGCTACCGATGAGTCTGAATGGAAGTACACGGTAATTTTATTTTTAATGCCAAGGCTGACTCAGGATTTGGATCTCCTTGTGACCCTTTCATATGATGGTGCAACCTCATTAATCCAGCAGCTTCCCTCTTTTATTTGGGAGGGATTTTATTTTATTTTATTTGGGAACTTCCTGATGCAGCCTTTTAGCCTCTCACCTGCTCCCAGGGCCTACGTGTCGTGTTCAAGGTGTATCACTCTTAGACCATGAGGTCAGGCGTCATGACGATGCCAGCAGACATGGTGAGTGCGTTCTGCATGACCCAGCATTGCTGCTAGTCCTTGGCAGTGCTGGGCACCAGACTAGGGAAATCTGTCTTCTGGTCCATCCTGTGTGATCTCCTCTCCCCACCTCATGGTTCCAGCATCTTCCTCGTGTTCTCTCGCCATTCCTCACCTGGTACCTGCCCTCAGATGGTGGGCGGGATTGAATTCCGTGCAGGGGCTCAGAAGGCTCAATTCTGACTCTGCCAGAAATTCTCTGGGGAGGAGCCATGTCTCCAGTCCGAGCCTCAGTTTCCTCACCTAAACCATGACGGGGCTGGGTTATAGCAAGTCCTGCTTCAACCAGGACAGCTCTGTTTATGCCTCGGGGTTTGATCTTATATCTGCCCCCAAAGATTTAAATTCACTGGATGAGATTACCTTTAAGGGTCCTTCCAGATCTAATGTCATTTTCTACCCCACATGGGAACAATCTAATGCAAAGCGTGCACCACAAGTATCCACAGGGCAGGGCAGGGGATGTGAACAAGTGAAGAGGGCCCAGTGCAGGCAATAGGGAACGGTGAGGACTGAGGTAAACGTATGAGCACGGACAGCTGAACGGACCGGCTGTATTTTAGTTGTTGCCTTGAGGGAGTTCATAATCAGGGCTCCCAGAGTTTCTGATTTTTCGAGAGAAACCAGAAATCTGACCTTCTATGGGAAATATTTGGGCTCAAGCCAAAGGAAGGAAATCCAGCATGTGGGCTACCAATTAGCAATCCTTCGTGTGCAGAGCGACTCCCGTGCAGAAGGACTGTTGAGTCGAGGGATGAATCGAAGTGTAATTGGAGTGACTGTTTACTCAGTGTCCCTTGAGTGCAAAGTCCTGGGCTCCAAGCTTCACGGGCAGCATCTCATTCTCTCCCCGCCACGACCTGCGACCTCTGGGGACCTTGCCAGAGTCTGCCTTCCACCCCGCCCCCTCCCTCGTGAGTCAGTTTTGGCCCCTGTGAAGCCCTGCAGTTTGTCTGTCCCTCCCAGAGGCAGCCAGCCCTGAGCTGAACCACAGAGTTTAATCTGGGAGAGGGCTGGAGTGGGGGCCTGTGAACATGGGGTGGAGGTGGTGCAGCAGTGGTAGGAGGGAAAGAGCGGTGACAACGCTGTCAGCGCCTGTATCCTCAAAGCAGGGGCCCACCTGTCAATGGCCTTGACTGCACTCTTTGCCCTAAAGGCCCAGGTGAGTAGGTGTAGTTTGAAGGCAAGAAACTGGGAAGGGAAAAAAAATCAACAGTTAATGAGCACCTCCTGTGTCCCAGGCCCTGTCCTTTCTGTATGTTACTTCATTTAATCCTCACAACGACTGATGAGGGTGATATCCCCATTTTACAGATGAGGAGACCGGGGCTCAGCAGGTGGAAAACATCAAACCCAGGCCAGAGGTCTGGTCCATTTAGCTCCAAAGCCTGTGCTTTCCACAGTACGAGCTGCCCTTCCACATCCCATCGCGGACAGGCGGTACGGTTAACTGGACTAACTACAGCTCCTGTGAAGACAGATCTTACTGCACTTGGCTCTTCAGGGGGGCAAAACGGTGTGGCCTGTTCCATATGTCTGCCCACCAGGAACAGCGAGGCCACAGCTTACAGCCTCCCGCTTTCCTGGACAGTGTGTTTCTTCCCACTGTTCTCGGCGAGGAGTGGCCCCAGCCCTGTTGGCTCCTGTCATCCCTGGCTGGTCCCCTGTGATCAAGCCGGGAAAGGCAGGTGGTCGGAACAGCAGCGTGTGTGTGTTGAGCTTGTGACTGTAACTCTGGGTGCGTGTGTCTGTCTGTCTGTGTGTAGTTAAACCTGATGGGGAGGGGGTGAAATTAAAATGTGTATGTGTATTTATGTGGCTAAGTGCCAGCTTGTCTGTGTGTGTGTGTGTGTGTGTGTGTGTGAGAGAGAGAGAGAGCAAGAGAGAGAGAAACCTAAATTTGTGTGCATGTTTCTGTCTTTCTGTCCTTCTGTGTGGCAGTACGGCTGAATTTCAGCTCAGACCCCTGTCGCTGGAGCAGCAGCTCCTTCGAGCCAGCGTGAGAAGGTTGGCAGCCCTACCAGGCTCCTCATAGGAATCCTCCAGGATTAGCTGTCAATCTCCACTGCTCTCCTCCCAGATGGGTCCGGACAGGTCTGGATGAACCAGATGATAAATTCTGAATCTCCTGTGCGCCATGTTTCTTCCATAAGATTCCCCTCTGTCTGCTGGAATGAGCAGAGTGAGATCAGACTGAGGCCTCATTCAGGGGGCTCCCCTCTAAAACACAGTGCCCCGAGGCCGCCTTAGAGCCCCGTGCTCCTGGGACATCAGGGTCTTGGGAAGGCAACAACACTCTTCCTGGCAGGGATGGAGGTCCTCCTTAGCCCCTCCCCACTGTGGCCCCAGCCTGGAAAGACCCCAGTGCTCAATGGACACGGATCCCAAGGGGCAGACATGACATCCCCCTCTGTCTCTCTCCCAGGTGTCACTAACTAAGGGACCCTGGAGCCAGTGCCTTTCCTGCTCTTGCCCTCATTTCTAACGACCCTCAAGTTGTACCTGTGACAGGGGCCCAGAGACCCACCTTCTCTGTAGATTTCAAGCCCATTCCTTCCCAGGAAGCCCCTCAGGCCTGGGGAAGCATCTGGGGTGTGGAAGGAGTACTTGCCTTCACCTCCAGACCTGCCTCCGCACTCACTGGCTGGGGGGTCTGTGGCCAGTGGGCTCCCCAAGCCCCTCTCCTCCCCTGAAGCAGAGGTTAGGTTCACTTCCACCTCAGCTGAGACAAACAACTGAGTTCTGTGCAGTGTAAACTCTTGGTGAAAGAATTTTGCCCAACTTTTTCTCTATCGTGTATGTAAAATACCTTTTGCTTTTTGTTATCTGTACAAGTTTCTTCTGGTTAAAGGTAATATATCCTTTTTCAGTGTTTACTTTCAACATTTCTGAACTCTTATGTTGTAGATGTAAATGGGATAGAGTGGAATTTTGTCTTTTATCCAGTCTCACAATCTTTAACAAGATTATTCAGTCCCCTTTAACATAGTTTCTGATTTATTTCTGGTTAAATGTAACATTTTTGTCATAATGGTATTGTAGTGCTATATTTTTAAGTCCTTATCTGGTAAAGATACATCCTAAAATATTTATGAATAAAACGATGTGATGTCTGGGATCTGTTTTAAAATACTCTAAGAAGAAAAATGAGGGAGAGAATTGAAACTCGATTATTAAGTGTCTAGGATGATGGGTACCTGAGGTCCATTACACTGTTATGTCTATTTTTGTACATTATTTAAATTTTTTATAATAAAATATTTTATTTAATCTGCCATCTTATTTTATAGTTTCTAATTGTCCTGCCTATTCTGTTTCCTTTTCTCTTATATCATGCCTTCCTTTAGATAGATTATTTTTTAGCATTCTACTCATTTCCCCTTACTCATTGGGAAATTACTTATTCTGTTTGAATGCATTTAGCGTTTACCTTTAAAATTACAACCTGCAATCCTAGCTTAGCCGTCTTTTTACTCTGCTCCCTCCTTTTAACTCCATTTACTTCTCCGTCAATTTACAGGCAATTGTTGTCATGTATTTAAAACCCTACAGGACATTGTTTTCATTGCCAGATACAGTCCGTGTTCATTTAAATTTATCCACATATTCCCTAGTTTCTTTGTTCCTAGTATCTTCTTGCACTTCAGTCTTTCCAACTGGAGTTATCTTTCTTCTACCTGAAGTAGATTCTTTGGAATTTCCTATAGTGTAGGGGTTTGTGTGACAGACCCTCTTAACTGTCCTTGCATGAAAATAGCTTAGTCTTTATTCTTGGAAGATATTTTGTTGAGTGTACGATTTGAAGTTGGCAATTACTTTCAGCAGATTGAATTCTGTGGTCTTCTGGCTTCTGTCGCTGCTTTGAGAAGTCAGCCCTCAGTCCTGGTGTCGCTCATGTGAGGTTTCCCTCCAGCTGCTTTTCAGATGATCGCTCTTGGTGGTTTTTCTGAAGTTTCACAACGATATAGCTAAGTGTAGACTTCATTTTATTTTTCCAACATGAGATTCATTGTGATTCTAAAGTTTGTGGATTAATGTCTTTCTTTTATTAGTCGTGGAAAATTCTCAACCATTAGGTCTTCAAATATCACCTCTGCCACATTCTTTTTCTAGGATTCCAATTTTATATGTATTAGACTTTTCCGCTCTTTCTCTTGCCTTTTCACCCTGAATTTTCCATCTTTCTGCTCTTTCATGTTGCTCTCTGGAAAGCTTCTTCTAGCCTATCTTACAATTCATGAATATTCTCTTCAGCCATGTACATTCTGCTATGGAACCCATTCTTATAATTTTGTGTGTTTTTTTAAACCTGCATTGGGTCTTTGCTGCTGTGCGCGGGCTTTCTCTAGTTGCGGCGAGCAGGGGCTGCTCTTCGTTGTGGTGTGCAGGCTTCTCATTGCGGTGGCTTTTGCACGGGCTCTAGGCACGCGGACTTCAGTAGTTGTGGCACGCGGGCTCAGTAGCTGTGGCTCACGGGCTGTAGAGCACAGGCTCAGTAGTTGTGGTCCACGGGCTTAGTGGCTCCGCGGCATGTGGGATCTTCCCGGACCAGGGCTCGAACCGTGTCCTCTGTATTGGCAGGCAGATTCTTAACCACTGTGCCACCAGGGAAGTCCCCGTTCTTATAGTTTTTATTTCAGTTATTGAATATATTTATTTCTATTTGGTTCTTTATCAAATTGGCTCCATGACTTTTGATAGTTTCCTATTCCCTGAAGATATTTTCAGGCCTGCCTTTATTTTGTTAAACATAGTCAGCATAGTTGCCTTGTAGTCTGGTTCTTGCACATGGAGCCTAGTTTCCTTGAAAGCCTCGTTCTCTAGGACTCTTCTAGTCATCGTATTTAAAAAATTACTTGTGGGAATAATTTGCCAACCATGATAAAGATACCTTCCCCCAGAGAGGATTTCCATTTGCTTTTCCCACACCTGGAAACATTACCAAGTTCAAGGCTTGAGAGTTTATGACCCAGGGGCTTTTCCACTTCCAGATTTTAATTCTGTGTCTCTCACCTCAAGAATCTGTCAAACTTGGGTTTTAAACTTCTGGGTTTAGCAAATGACCTTGGTACAAAAACATCTTCAATTGAGGCTTAGCTGTCCGAATGAATGTTCCTTTCATTTTGGATATGGTTGTTCCTAGCTGTCTTGAAATCTCTTTAACGCTTTGATGAAGGTGCATCTTAACCATATTTTTTTGGTTCCTTTCAGTAGCAGAATTAACCCAGATAAGCTGCCAACCGTTCTGGACATTAGAAGTCCTTTTGAATTTTAGACTCTAGATTCTAAATGTTTATCCTAGAGCAGTGCTTCACAAACATTAATGTGCGTACAAATTACTTGGAGATCTTCTTAAAATGTATACTTTGACCTAGTAGTCCGGGGTAGGGGTCTTGGACTGGCATTTTTAACAAGCTACAGAAAATGCTGATGCTGTTGTGGTCCGTGGACCGCTACTCTGAGTAGCAAGGCTATAGAAAACGCTTTCCCAGAAAACACTGGGAATCTGTAAGTTCCTAAAACAGGGCTTCTGAGTTTCCTAAATGGGTGTTATAAAATCAAGTGTCTCTACTCTCCTTCCTCCTTATTTGGAACCTATGGACTTAAATTTATACTTAATTTTAACAAACCTTTATCTGGTTTCTCAGGAGAGAGAAAATCAGGAGTACGTGTGTGTGTTGGACATTGAGGGGGGTCTGTGAGACATGGAGATAATTTGGATCTTTGGTCCTTGAATGACCTTGAGCTGCCTCTTCTGGCCAAAGCAGGGTCAAGTATAACAAGTAGCCTCCAGGTTTAAAAGCTCATTATCTACAGCAACAGTCTTCAAATGTTTTGGTCTCAAGACATCTTACTCTCTTAAAAATCATCAAAGAACCCATAGAGCTTTAAATTATGGAGGTTGTATTTATCAATATTAATTCAATTGGAAATTAAAACTGATAAAGTTTTAAAATATCTCTTAATGAATTTTAAGTAATAGTTACCCATTACTGTGAAGGTAAATACGTTTTTGATGAAAAATAATTGTGTATTTCAAACAAAAAAAATTTAGTGAGAAGAGTGACACTGTTTTATATTTATAGCTGGAGTTTTACACCATTTTGCATTCAGTCAATTGTGATATATTGGTTTGGTTGAAGTATTTAAAGAATAGCTGGCCTCACAGATACGTAGTTTGAAAAGAGGAAGATTTTAATGGTCTTTTCCAGGTAACTGTGGACATTCTTCGTCAACATTACGTAAATTCTCAACAAGCGGTAGTTTCTTAAAGATAGTTGCAACGTGTTTCTACTCTGTTACATCAAAATCCATTATTCTGTCTTGTACTTTGAATGGATCTTTTATCTATGCGTGATTCTGTAACAATGCCTTTTTGTTTGGAAGATATTGGTTCGTTGAGTTATACAGAGCTTCCAAATGTTGACACATTTCATCATATAATATTAAAAAAAAAACCCACGTTAATCTTTAACCACACCTCATCAGTCTTTAAGTGCTGGGAGGCGATCAGCTTAAGGTGGCAGATACAAATTTTCCAAATTCTGATTTCACTGGAAAACTTTAATCTTCTCATCGGCAACAAATACTGTCAGTTGCTTTCCTTGAAGTGACAGGCCACTTTGTTCATTTTTGTGGAAATGTTTGCCAAACACCCAAGTCAGAATAATCAATCATCCCTTGCCTATCAGTTGTTCTTTTCCAGTAAAAATGATGTTCCATGGAAAAGGCAGCCCATTCAGCTCGCAGCTCCATCACACAAGTGCCTTTCTCCAGACGACCACCGCGTTTCGGTATGCATAAAAGTGCCTTACGATTATTTCCCAGTTCTTCCCACAGAATGCTGAAAGGCCGTGTCTTTAAAGGTTGAGATTTAACAAAATGAATAATTTCTACTGCCCCTTCAGGGACATTCTTAAGTGCAACTGGCTTCTCTTTTCCACTGTGAGTGCAAGGTGGTGAACAATGGCCACTAGAAGAATTTGGGGTCTCTGTCTGCTTTGATCTGTGCTAAGGCACCCGCAGATCACTCAGCACTGCTTTTGCATCCTCAGGGCAACTGTCAGCACAGAGAAAAAGGCAGAACATCTTAGTATTTGTATGACAAGACTTTTGATTTCAAGGACTCCCTGAAGGGTTTCAGATTTCCCTAGAGATTCAAGGACCACAATTTGAGAACCACTGATCTGAGATTTTTTTAAATGATGGTTAATCCTACTGTGAAATATGCCATTAACAACATAGAAACAATGAAGTAGAACTGTATATTCTCACATGGAATTTTTTCCAAGTCAAATTTAATATGTAAAAATTAAAATTTAAAAAGCCATGGGATAATAGTATTTTATATACTACAGCATCATCGCATTATGTTAAAAAATATATACGTGGTCTATGTGACACATATACCATACTGTTTGTAATTATAATTTGAAATTAGTAAATGATAAATAGTAATTAGTTATAGATATATGATACATACCATACTGTTAGTCATATCTTCTGGAAAGCTTCAGGCTTTCATTGATATGCCTGTATTTGAATCTATTATAGTAACGTATTCACATGTTGCTTCTTTCCATGACTAAACAATTTTTTAAGATGAAAGGGGGGGGAAAGAGCTCATTATCTCAGCTTAACACCTCCTCCCTTCAAGCCTTGAGTCTGGCAGGCCTCAGGAAGCAAACCAGCCCGATTCTCTGCTACAGCAGCTCTTTCCCAGGAAATCTCCCCACATTTGTTCCTTCAGGAGGATGAGGTGGCCCGGGGGTTGGGTGGCAGATGCAGAGCTGGTCCCCCGGTAGTGTGATCCTGCCTGGAGGGCCTCTAAGAGGCCAGAGGGATGCAGCACTTTCTCTTTCAAGGTTTACAAACAGCCTGGCTTTTCTCACTTTGGAGAGGAAGGGAGCCATAGGGAGAGAACTGGATGCTTTCTCCCTCTTGTTGTTTAAAACATTTGCAGAATCGGTAGGGACAGAGGCAAAGTGACTCTCCAACCTCGACCTTCGACCTCCGGATGACAGCAGGTGGCTCAGGGGTTGGCGGGGAAAGGCTGGACTGAACTACCTCCCTGGGGGTGGAGCCATGGGAGGCCCTGGAAGGAAATTTGCTCTACAGGTGGAGCCTGATGCCTGAAGGGGCCTCAGAGGCCCCAGGTGCAGAGAGAGACTGGGTCGAGGTCCTGACCCCACCCCTCCGAGATGCTGAGATCCCAGACAACTGACCTCATCTCCCTGACTCTCAGCTTCCTGATTGGTAAATGAGGATACAATAC